GCCCAAAATGTAAGTAATATTTCCCAATTTATTGATTCCAAGTATACAGAATATATAAAAATCTTGGTGATTAAACTTGAAGCCCAATTTTAATAATCGATTAAATGAATAAAGTTCAAATTAATGTATTGTTTCTTAAATTCCTTAAGAGGGATAAAATAAACTTATGAAGGAAAATCTTTTCCTTTATATCTTCAACAAAAGTTCTTCTGAAATATGAAATATTATATTCTTAGAGGAACAAAAATAAGATGGAAAGTATGAGTCTTTCTTTAAAGAAAACTAACAGTTGATAAATATAATACCTATATTTATAAATAAATATAGCTTATACATATTAAAGATCTTTAATAACAATTTCTCAAGTCACATTACCACCCACTCTGTAGGATTTACTAGTTCAAAAGACAGGCAGAAGTATTCTGAAATCCTTTGTTGCATCCAACTACTTTTGTTTTTTAATTCAAAACCAGGGTTTCTAATGAGTACAATCTTTGATTATTGGCTATGATTTGCAACTGAATAACCCTGGGCTGTTATTATTTTAAACCGTGTATCTTAGAGTCAAAATTTCATTAACAAAGTATTATTTCAAAGTTTTCCAAATGTGAAAGTACTGGAGATAGAACATTTTTTCCTAACAGAACAAATTGGGAAAATATACAGAGAAATGGTAACATGTGAAACTGTAATTGCAAAAGTAATTAAGCATAGAATAAATGATTTACTACTATTGATATATACACTCTAAAAAATCAGTTAAATATATGAATTTATTTTAAAATAATAATTTAAATTCTAGCCTATGTCATTTATATAATATCAAAAAGATGTTTAAAGATTCAGCAATATTTTGAGTTTCACAGAAAATGCCAATAACTGGCATGAGTTTTCTCTAAATTGACGTGTAAACCAGTGGATTTTAACATGAATTTGTGGCTACACAATCTAAATTTATCAATAAATGAAGCAAAAATGAAGTTACTTTCTGTATTGAGTTATGCTATAATTAAAAAAGCATTTTATTGACTCATAAACCATACAGACTTCCTATGAAGTTTTGTAGAAAGTTATAATTTGATCAATAATAATATTTAGAAACATAAGGTAAAAAGGGAAAGTTTAAAAATGTTCACCTTCAATTTATTTCATAGGTCACTGTTAAACCATCTAATAAGATAATTAAAAACATGCAAGCAGCTGGTACTACAGCTAAACAGATTAATGTAATAGTCTGTAGTCATATGTGCTGGCAAGGGGTTCGCCTCTTTGGAGAGGAGAAGGTCAGCTGCCCTTGGGAAGAGGAGGGGGTTGATGGGGAGAGAATCTTCCTCCTAGCCAGTGGCCTTGTGCTGCAGTCGCTAAGTTAAATATCTACTGCAAACTGCTAACCAGCAAACTGCTTCTCTTCTTTCATACCCAGTAAGGGTCTCTAATTTTAGTCGTTAAATAAGAAATAGAGAGCTTATAAAATTTGATAGAAAACACTAATACTGGCCTTTAAAAAGTAAAAGATCTACTGTATAAGTTAATGATGGTCTTTCAATTCTTACAAATTTTCCATTTTAACACATCATCTGAAAATTAGTAGAAAATATATATTTTAATAAAAACTTCCAAAACGAGATCTGGTTTATTACTCTGGCAAAACATAATAATTCATTCTGGTGTCTTAGGAGTTAAATGCAGCTGTACTCATTCTGAATCAATGGAGCAGAGCCACAAAAGACACAAATCCAAAGTAAAACCTCCTAACCTACGAAAAACAAATCTATAAGCCTTAGATACAGAAAGCAATGGAATTCATAGATTTGAAATTTTAAATTTCGTCAAAATTCCATCTCTCAATTTAAACTAGTAATACATCTTTATTTTTACTATATCGACAAAGTAGTTATACAAAGGAAACAGAATAATATATCAGAAATTAAACGTTTCAAGTTTCAGTAACGATTGCTCTTTGCTCCCTTTCTGCTAACAGAAGTTACTTTCCATGAAACGCATTTAGAAACAAAATCTTCCTTTCAGTGTCTCTGTATTCAAGTATTATAAAGGAAACGCTACAATACAAAAAGTTAAAGATGATGACAGTGAAGATGACATGGACTGGAAGATAAAAGCAGCTAGTAACTATTCAGCATTTACCAGATGATAGTATCCTCATAACAAATGTGTTTTATTACCGCACTTTAAAAGTGAGGAAATTGGGGCTAAGGTTTGTCCAAAGTATCCAAAGTATTTGGAATAAGGATTTTAGCAATTCAGTGCATTTAAACAGAGACTATGTCCTGAAACTGACAGTCTAAGATCACAATAATACAAATAAGTATTGGAGAGAATATAGATCCAGGTGACCAATTCAAGACTGAATCTAAAAGTTAATGAAACTTCACTATATGCTATTAAAGTGCACACGTGCTGGGTGGTTATATGAGGTATTAGGCCACAATTCATGAGGTGAGCATAGAATAATTAATAATATAAAGTCAGGGCTTTATGTATAGATTTTCAAATGGTTTTTACCTTATACATTTTATCTTAATCTTTAAAAGAGTTGTGCTAAGGAAGCAGGTTAGACATGATAAAATCCGCTTTATGGACGACAAGGCTAATCTTTATCCTGGGCACAGTATATATAGCTTGAGTATGTTGGCACTCGGCTAACAGCCAGAACTGGATTTCTGGGGCAGTATAAATAATACATAAGTAGAACCGTTAGGTTAAAGGGTGCTTGAGGGTTGGAATATTTACATTTTTTCAAATAATCTATTTCTAGTTAGTTTAAAAGAGCTATGATAGCAACAGAAAAATAATTTTCATTTTCAGAAGTACATTTTACTGACAATTCTGTTGTCATTTTAGTGTGATTCTGCAATAATTCCTAGGTTTGCAAGTTAACTTTAATATGAAAATATACCTCTGAGCTGTACTTCTATGAATTCAGCACTTAACCCTTGTCAAATTCACAAAATAAGCTCATTATATTATAAGAGCTATTGCCTACTGAGTAAAAAAATATTCATTTCACACCTTAAGTACTAAAATACTATTTAATAACAGCACTGGTCTGCCAACTATTAAAAGCTCATTTTTATATACTGTACTACCTGAGCTTTTTATCTTGCCTTTTTAATTATAACAATAAATTAATATCCTAACATTACAACACTGACAGACATTGATTAAAAATATATTAGTTAACAACATTAGTATTTATTGTGCAAAGTTTCATTAGGAATTCATTTTCAAAATATAATTATCATTCAGTAATACTAAGATACTTTAATCTTCAAACTATTCAAGAACAAAATAAACTATAAGATAATACTATGCCTTCACATTAACACATTTCTCTTAACTTTATATTATGTTCATTATTTACTATAATTAGCTAAACTACAAATGTAATTATCATATAAAATTCACAATAAATTTTTTCATACACGTGTGAAGGGATTTTTCTTCCTTTGAAATACATCTTTTTTTTTCCTTTTGTCTTTGCTTTTTCTTTATTGTATTTGTATCTAATACCATGTTACCACTACAGATTTCATATATATTATCATATTAACATTCCTGTTATATGCCAAACCATGAATATTTAATTAATCCTTTATATTCATGTGTGTGTGTGCATGTGCAAGATCAGCTATAACAAGTTCAGATAGAGAATTCTACCTATTATTTAAATGTCAAATTCCAAGCTTTATACTATACTTCAGCACTAAGAGAAGAATTTGAAGAGTTCCAGCCTTCATAAGATAGAAGGAGTACAGTGAAAATATAATGACAACATATGAGCTTTACTGCTGTGATAAAGCCTATTACACCATGGGAACAAACCTTTTGTAGTCTCCATGACACATGAATAACTGATTATCTATACGGACCCCAAATCATATAAAATAAAAATGTCAAGTGTTTCAATTACCAGCTCATTTCCAGAATTCATAAACAAATTGTAAAAACTTTCACATTTACCACATTCTTATTAAGTGCTTCCTGTATACAAGGTCCCACTCTAGATGTTAAAATCTAGAGTGAGATCTGAAGAAACAAATGGCACAGTTCCGATTAGGAAATTAGAATATGTATTCAAATGAAAATATAAGTATTATAAGCATAAATTTATGTTTCTTATGTAAAGAGTTACAGTTTATATTCAAATGAATTTCTAAATGGACAGTGATTCTCACATACATTTTAGGTAAGCACCATTATGCAAGTATCAGAATTAATTAGCCATAAGAACACTGTACTCCAATTATGTATTACCTTAAGAATATGCATACCTAGAATGCTAAAGGGTATTGAATTTGTACTAAATACTCCCTAAAAGAAATCAATCTAATTCAACAATACTTTGGTTCAGTATGTGACTTTTCAAATACCACTGAAAAGACTTTAACTGTTCATCTTATATTTCCCTGTTATGAAGGCACAAAATTCATAAACATTTACTCAAGTAAATTCAAGTAATAAGATACAAGTTTTTTGACTAGTGTACTTTTTTTTAAAAGTAATTAATTGGGATATAACAGTCCTGTTTGCACAAAAGTGAAGCAGGATATGAACAAACAGTAATTAACCATGGATTATATTTTATACTGTTAGATGCTCATAAGCAGCACACTTCATTTTAGTAGGTAACAAGTAAAAGGGGCCTTTACTACTATAACAGATTCATTGGAAAACAAAACAAATATGGATTATAATAAAGCTTAATACTAAATATGCATTAGGCTTATACGCTTTTTCCAGTATAGGATAAAAAAAAGATACCTAAAATAAGTTCATTTATTAAGAACTATAATGTTACATTTTCTGTTAGTAATAAGCCTTCAGAACAACTGCATATCACAATACTCTTTACATTTGTTATGTACTTTTTTAAAGCAAAGGTAGCCAAGTTCCTTACTATTCTAAAATCAGAATCCAGTAATATTAGGTATCTTGTACATTACCTTGCAATATTATGTGTCTATGTATTCATCACCTACCTATAGGAATTAAAAGTCCCATCAGAATCTAAAGTAGAACTTGCTCTTCTTCCATTTTTATTTGAATCTCCTGGAAAAAAAAAAATTAAAAACACTGAAATAATGGAGATTACGAAACTAGTTATTTCAGCTGCAAAAATATGTGTGACACCTCTAAGCAGTATTTGGGTCAAAAAGCATCAACGCCTTTGTCCTACTCCCCACAAATATCTTTTCTAATCTGAGTCCTTTAGGCAGCAAATAATTTTGATGCTAAAATATAAATGAAACTACCATCTTTAACTTGGCTAGGAACACTACCAAAGTAATTGGTAAAAGGAACAAAAGAAGTACAGTATGGACATTTCCTTCTTATGAAACACAGATGAATGCAAAATTTGTATGGCATTTAATTACACTAAATAATGTTCATGATGCTGATAAAAAAAAAAAAAGACCAACTCTTTTGTTAGTAACCACATCACCCATCCTGAATACTGGTACAATCAAAAGAGGGCAAGAGGAGAGCAAACTGAAATGCTTTCAGTCCCCTGTTCTCTACTCTTGAAGAGTTTGGGAAGCAGGGTCAAGACAGAAAACAGCTTTGGAGATGATTATCACAAATACATCCTAAGGAGCTTTTAATACACCTTATTATTATTATTCCCCAAACTTTATGTTTTAACTGTGGGCAAAAGTTCAGTGGTTTAAGAAATGAAAAACCAACATCCAAAGGTTTCTTTGCCTTGTGTAATAATATCAAACATTTACACAAAAAATTTTCACTCAAGACACTGGCATATTCATAAAGTCAGATTTAGAACAAATCCATACCTATCAGTTTGAGGATTATAGAATAAAAATAAATTTGCTTAAAGTTTCACAAAACGCTTGCCAATGCCACATATAAAATACATATTCTTTTTCAAAGAAATTTAATTTTAATAATTCAAATTTTAAAATATATACTTCATGGAAACTTTTGGTGGTGAACATAATGTAGCATTATGCAGATATCAAATTTTAATGCTGTACTCCTGAAACTTACATGTTATAAAGCAATGTTAATTCAATAAATTTTTTAAAAGGGGGAAAAATAAAATATACATTTCAAAGTATAGTTTTTATAAATCCATAGTAAACTACTATTAAAGATATCTTTATTCTTAGAAACAAATTTAAAAGACTAGAGTCTGATTACGTTTTACACTCCTAATTCCTGTAACATAACTTTCAAACATCAGGTTAAATTCATTTTTATGATATTTAATGCTTAATAATGTAATGATTTATCCAATTTTAATTTATACTTTTAATCCACTTTGAACAATCTAAGGTGCCACTGGAGATCATCACAGTGGTCCTGGTTAAGTCAAATAGTAATTATGGAGCTTTCACTTTAAAGATGAGATTATTTTTAATTATTGAGTATAGTACTTAAGGTACCAACTTATATAATTATGCTACTCATTAAATGGTTATTGAAAGCTAAAATGTAATTTTAATGACAGCTACCTATTTTTCTTTGCACATTTTATAGTTGACAGATTAGTCAAGAATGTTGGTTCTCTTCAAAATGTTTGCAGCTGTGCCGAGAGTGTTTAGCAGGATGAGAACTGGACTGAGCTCACCTTGTGAACTTTTAACTCCATTTTTTCCAAAGTATACTTTCAGATTTTTTTCCTTTGATAAAAATAAAAATCCTAAAATGAATTACATTCAAAATGGTTGAAATAGATGAAAATAATATAGAATGAAAATAACCCAAACCACTGTATATGATCCATCTAGTAGGGCATATTTTGTTAATTCTTTGAAAACATGGGTACAGTAAATTCCTCATACAATGCATACTTCATTGTCTTTAAAAAGAATTAATGGTTTTATAACAAAAAAACTAAAAAGATGTAAGGAAAGTTAGTATCTGTCTTGATAAATGAAAATTTCCTACAACACATGTTATTTAACAGCTTGCAGACATTTCCTGTGAAACATTCCGTAATCAGCATAGAATAAGTACTATATGATACATTTAAAATATCAGCCTTCTTTCTCCTTAAAACCAAAGATTATGATTACTTAAATACATAAAAATCTCACAAGTAGAATATTTCTTTCATTTTGATGATACTTAACAGATCAAATGCAAAATCCTTCAAATAATTTAGAGACATTTTTTAAACAACTAGATTTTATCATAATATATTACAAAGGTTTTCTTCATTGTATTACTGTTTCAAAATGAACATGTCACTTAAATGTAACCTTCAAAGATGGTAATAAGGAAAAAAAGCAGTTTTTCCTTCTCAAAAACATACCAAATAAGGAGTACAATTGTTTCACTAAACAATACTAGAGAAAATATTTCAGACTTTGCTATATGGGGAAAAGGCAATAAAGTTTTGAAGCTGAAAAACTGCTTTGTTCCTTCAATCCTCTAGTTGAAATTAATTATAGCAAATGTTTATGAAAACATCTGTTCCTTACAGTTATAAATTCTTAATTTTAGTATGGATGATTTCATACTTTTATTTTGAAAGGAAGTTATCTAACAATTGAAAGGTTTACCAAAAACCAGATTTTCTAATTCTGGAAAATTGTGTATACAGTGGGCTATACCCTGTAGACATTTGTTTGTGTGAAACACTTGGTGGGGCTTAAAACTGAAAACTGGAAGAAATCAAAGATAAACGGAAAGGTTCATCCTCCATTAAAGATGAACATGATAAAAACATATCTGTAATATAAGAAAACACCAACAAGAATTAAAAACAAATGCTAACTTTACATTCAATCTAATTTGGAGGTAAGTGTAATAAACTAGGTATCAATTTTACTAGGGATTTGGTACCTATAATGCCAATGTAATTATGGAAAGGTATGTTGAGTGTTCCCCAAAAATAACAACAGAGGGTGCAAGAGAGTTTAATATGATGTTTTCAGTTGCTTATTCTGAATCCTTAACTAAGTTGTCAGGTAGTTGTAACTAACCAGGATGCATAGGATGTTTCCAGATCCATCCCTTCATCCCCCCACCCCACAAACACATAAAAAGTATTACCAAGTAATCTTAAAGTCCTTTTAAATGATCAAACAGTACAGATACTTAAGTATTTTAAAATAATGGAATTCCTTCTGATTGTTTAAAAGTAATTTAACAGTAAATTTAAAAAATACAATTGTGATTTTAAAGGCATTTAAATATTCAATGTAAACTAACCAGTAAAATTATATATATTTATGATGTAAATTTTAAATAAATGCTTAAGTTATATGTAACATATATGCATTATAGTTATTATATATAAAATACTGTATGACATTATATATGTATAAAAATAGTTCATCAATTATTGTAAATATTAAGTTTGAAAGTTATATGATACATTCATTTCTTATTAGTTGGTATGTAACTTTGTAAGATGAGTTCATAACATTCATAATTAAAATAAAATAAGTTGACTTGAAAACAATATGCTAGCAGTTATACTGCTTTAGATAAAGAGAGTACAGTATTTTCCAGTAGTAATTTCCAACATACATGTATCTAACTTATTGCATACATATGTATACATATGTCAAACATATGTATAATTGAGACTGAAATTTCAAAACAGGATAAATAAAATTCTAGTCTCCTTTTTAGCTTTTACTGCAATCATGTTTAGCTAAGGGCACTGATACTATCTATCTGTGCACTGTTGAAATCACACTGAGGGAAGGTTTACAAGATTTCTATAGTGCCTTTTATGCATAAACATCTGCTTAAAGGAAAATCAGAGATTTTAAACTAGATTAGGTTAAAAACAACTAGAACAATGATATAAATGAGCATACCTACTGAATTGTGCCTTTAGTTTACATCAAAAAACATCAAGTTTTAGAGTATCACATTATTTTGGTATGAATTCTGACAAGTATTACATAGTAAAGAAAGGATTTCTCTCCGAATTGTTAGAGAAATGTTACCAAGTGTAAGAGGGGATAACTAATTTGGTTTAAATTAAATTGAAAACAAATCTATGGGAAGCCACATTTTAGCTGTGAAAAGATAATATGGCATTAACAAGTATAAAGACCTAAAACCTTGTGTGTTTTTTTTTTTTAATTTTTTTTTTAATTTTTTTTTTTTTTTTATAGAGGCATGTTTTCTTTCTTTCTTTCTTTCTTTCTTTGTTTGTTTGTTTATCCATGCACTGGGTACAGTCAGAAGCGCGGGAGGGTGAGAGAATTCACCAGAGCCAGAGCGGGGAGCAGAGCAGGCAGAAGGACTGAAGTACACTGCTGAGGGGAGCAGCGGGCGGCAGGAGAGGTCTGCGCACCATGTGGGACCCTCCTCCGGTGGCCGGGAAGCAGCCGGGGATCGAACCGGCGCCTCAGAGGCCGCGGGCAGCTTCGCAACCCAGCGCTCAACCGCTGCGCCACGGGGGAGGCCCCCTTGTGTGTTTTTTAAATGAATTAATATTACTACTAAAATGTTTTAGTCAAATATAAAGTCCCATTCAAAGTAAATGTTAAGAAAACAATAATTTATGAATTGAGAATACTGATAAACTGACACACACTAAAGATAATACCTAATGGCTCAGCACCATCTACGAAGGCAGGAGCCACCAAGGATATAAGCTACAAACTCAGGACCAACAATTAAGGTCTAGGAGTCAAGGGTCAATTAAATAAAGAAATTTGTACATTTAATAATTTTCCATCTTCTCTATTATTGTTATCTACACATTTAGTTTTCTAAATGGTGGTGCAGGGGTTGAAGCACTGCACTGTGAAGCAATCTGCAGCCTCTGCAGCATGAGTTCGATCCCCAGCCAGCCAGGGAACAACCCACATGGTGCAGGAGACCTCTCCTATCTTGCTCACTGCTCCCCTCAGCAGTGTATTTCAGTCAATCTGCCTGTTCTGTTCCCTACTCTGTCTCTGGTGAATCCTCTCAGCCCCCTCCCGCACCTCTGTCCTGTACCCAAGCTCTTGTATGCATAAAAAAATAAATCTAAAAAAAAAAAAAGAAATCAGGATATTCAAAAGCACTCATGTAGGAGTTACAACAAGATGGCAGAAGAGTGAAGATACCAGTCTCCA